TGTGCGAGATTCTACGCGCCAATCAGACGCAGTCTCATTGCCAGCAGGAGAACGATCGCGATAACGAGTAGTCAAGTCGATCGGTCTTTCCTCCTGTATGGGGGTGAATTTGGAAACCAGGCGCTACTCCCTCGAGCCTCGTTGGGTTTCTTTTACGACAGCTTGGCAAAAAATCTATCAAGCATTTCCAGCTGTCAGTAGAGTACTCTGCGCGGAGCAGTTGTTCGTACCTTGATAACTTTTAACTAGACAGCAATTAATTTTCACCGACGAGAGGGGAATTATCCGAGTTCGATCGCCGCGGCTCAGTTTATCAGGCGCAACAACAAAGATATCAATTTTTATGAAATTACAATGTTGGATTGAGTGGACAGAAGCAATGGAGCATTGTTCTTCTGTCTTTAAATTTATCCGTATATTTGAATAATGTGAACAACTGTATATATAAACTTTCTATTTCAAGACGATTGTAGTGCACGAGGTGATCCACGCGGAGTCCCTACACACACACATACACACAGCAAGGACCAACATACAATAGTACAAGACAATAGATGTCGCGATTAGATATCATTTATACGCATTCGTCGATATATTTGCTTTTTGCTCCGACATACAAAAATTTCCTTCTTGATGTCAGATAAGATGTTTATATTTAAATTCTGGCCATTTGCTTCTGAACAGAAGCAACATGCACAGAATCGGTCGCAGAAACTTTCGATTATGTTACTAGACGCGCGAGTCGCATGCACAATTACACGAACAGACGGGACCGGAGGTCTGTCGAAGACATTTCGATTAACTTCACCGCAGGAGCGTTCCGGCCTCTCTTTCTTTGGGTTGTCAGCAATGGAAGAATTGAACGACACGCGACACGATGAATCGGAGAGTGTAACATTGACAATTATTGCGATCCTTTTTAGCACGCATTATCGAGAATGTCGTTGATGTTCGTGAAGCGTCCCGATGCGTGTGTATGCAAAGTTCCCGTGATCTTGAAGAAGCAAGTATTGTCGCCGAAATGAATACCTACCAGTGGCAAAAGTCTCAGCAATTTCTCATTTCGTCGCAGAGAGAAGACGAAGAAAGCGCTCCTAGCGCTTGCCATTCTTCAAAGAAGACGTTTCCCTTTTCTCTTGTGCCTCTTTGTCCCGGTTCGAGATTAGAAAGCCTCTCAATACCAAAAATCAAGCAGCGTCGTCTCAAAGAAAATGCAGCGTTACCTCTACATTTTCCTGATGGGACGAGCTCGCGTCAGACGTTACAGAGAATGAAACTATCCCGAAAATGAAACTAGCACGTTCTACGCTCGCGCAAACCGTCCTCCCGAATGAAACGCGTAATTTCTATGTATCGGGTTGCGTCGCCTGCATAAGATTCAATGAGCATAACTAATTAATTTGTTCAGGTCCCATTGGCGTAACCGAACCCACGCGTTTAATCAAGTAATAATTCAACGCGCGAAACCTGACAGACGGCGCATTGTCAAACCGCTCACTGGACACGATAATTTCATTTGATAGCGGAAACAGCCGCTTCCGGTCTTCTCTTTCTTTCGACGTTAACGGTTCGTTACGGTTCAAACGGCTACGGTTAGTCCATCAAAATTTTGTCGTTGAATTCGTCGGTCAGCCATAGAACGCGAACTAAACGTCTCGCGGAGGAGATTTCGTTTCACGGGATCCTCGACAATTCTCTGTTTAACGGAGCCGTTTGTTTCTGCGTCGTCGAATAAATTTTAGTCGGCGGTGGTTGGGAACAACGAACACGCTCGCCGGGCGCGCATCAACCGCCAGAAAATGCCCCTAATCGATATGAAAACTGGCCGGCGCGCGGCAACACACTCTTCGTGTTGTTTCGCGACACGCGCGTCAGCGTGGCGCGCGCACACGAACGCACGGGAGAAACAAAAAAAGAAAAAAAGAAAAAGAAAAAATACGCGGGACAAAGGGTCCGGAAAAGAGGAGCTACAAAGAAATTAGGAAAGAAATAGGGGGGTCGGAGTGGTCGCGGAACAGGCATGAACAGAGCAAGGGACGAAGAAACTCGATGGAGACGACGCGGCCGCGCCGCGTATCGAGGAGCGGAAGGAAATTCACGCGGCAACGAATCGGACAGAGAGGCGACGAGAGTGATGACGGCGAGCAGGAGGGCTCGCGGCGTAGGACCAAGGCAGGAGGCGCAGGGGTGAAGGTAGAATGAAAGAAGAGGTAGAGAAAAGACGAAGAAAGCCGGCACTCCCACACAAAAATATCACCGTTAACGATTACCAACCCCTCTTTTCGTCCCGCGCGCTCGTTATATTGTGTCCCCGCCGCGCGCGCAAATTTAGAAACAAAAGACGGGTGGAAGGCGCGGTCTGATTGGCCGACCGGTCCGCGACTCGTCTCTCTGATTGGCCCGCGGGACCGCACCCATCCTGCAATGGCCGCTTTGTCGTTTCACGGCGCCGTTACTCTCTTCCTCTCTCTCTCTCTCTCTCCCTCTCTCTCTTCCTTTCTCTCTCTCACCCCTTCACTCCTACTCTCTCTCTCTCTCTCTCTTTCTCTCTCTTTCTCTCTCTCTCTCTCTCTCTCTCTCTCTCTCTTTCTGTATACGCGTCTGTACGCTTCAGCCACGAAGCTTCAACAACCCCGTGAATCGCGACTCGACTGTACCTACCTACCTACCTACCTACCCCTTTTCTTTGCACTCCTTTTTACTCTTCTTTCTATCTCGTAATCCTTCTCTCCCTCTCTTCCTCTATTTCCCTCCTTCTCATCACTGCTTCTCTCTCTTTCTCATTTCATCTAACCGACGCTATCTTTATCGTCCTTGCTTCCATCATTTCTTGGCCACTTTCGATACCGTCTCCTTCTAGCTGTTCCTTCGTTCGTTACGTTACCACTGTTCTCGTTATCTCTCTAACCCTCGTCGTCCCGCTTCCTCGAATTAGGCGTATGAAATCGGAGCGAGCACGATTCAACAGCGTGTACGCGCGTCCGCTGGACATTCGTGCATGAACACGGGTAGACGTTAGCGCGTGTGCAAGCCCACGTGCCTAGTATCGGGCTATACCTTCTCGGAGGATTGGAATTTTTCTTTCCCGTCTCTCTCGGTTCCATTCAATTTTCGTTGGTCGTTGGCGAAGGGATATCCACGGCGTTTCGAAGGATTAAGGAAAACGAAGGAGAGGAAACAGCGGAGCAAGGATTGAGGGGTAAATCACGATGCGAGTGTGAGGGAGGAGGAACAAGGAGAGAAAGGGAAGTTTGTCCCGGGTCCGCCATGCGGAAACCTATCTCAGCCTGGTACTCCACGAGTCCGCGGTAACTAACCGTCAGCCAGGGAAAATTCTCCCTTTTATAGTCGCGCCTTTTGGACTTGCCATTCTCCACCCCCGACAACCAGCCGCCACTGCACCCCTTGCCACTTTCATTCGCGACTGTTCTTTCGCCGCTCTATGTGCATGTTGTCGATAATTCTGCGCGATATCACCACCGCATCGAACGAGATGTCATTCGCGATCGGGCAAAGAACAAGTGGTGGCTCGTTGCGTCGATGATTCGTAAAATTGTTCCGGTGTTCTATATACACGTGGATGGATGTACAAGCCGATTATTCGAATCGATGAAAGAAATCAAAACTCTCAGATTTTTGTCAGGGAAATCTCTCAAGGTTGTCCGGTTGTAAACGATGTTGCTACTGCGTGAAAAAAATATTATATGGTAAATCAGCAGCCAGTTAGAGGGTTGTAAACGACCAGCATCTTCGTTATATCATTATGCGGGTAACGTATGAATTTACGGGATTAATTACATGGTAATTTACACAAATGTAACTAACACCGGGCATTCGCTAATTGATAATGATTCTCTTTGATGAACGAATGAGCGTTAAATTTGTTTGCGAAGTCGTTCTCTCGTTGTTGTGTCGCTCTGAGCCCGAATTTTCAACGATAAAACGACGTGCGTAGTAATTGCATGAAAACGTATTGGAGCTTTATATTTCCACTGATTATATCATATAATCGTCACGGGCAGCACGTTAAATTTTCCAAAAGCGCGTTACGTTGTTAATTCCCGTTAATGAACAAAATTATCATTAAAGCAGATTGTGGTTTTAATAGCGAATTATTGTCGAAATTTCGCGAAAGCGAAACGCTCGCGAACTATTCGAGAATGTGAATGCTTGCACGTGAGCGACGAAAAGTGAGCGCGCGGCGATTTAACGTTGCCCGTCTTTATAAACCTCGCGTCAACGTTAACTGAAATGAATTGCACTGTATGTTAATCTAATACGTAAATTATGAAAACGACGCGCGCAAGAAGCATTGTTCCCTCGTTGAAAGCGACCACTTTCAATTTACACATTGTAATTCACGTAATTCGCGGCTGAAAATGGCCCCCTTTTTATCACAACTTCGATTTTCTTCCCTTGTTCGCTGTGTCGCGTTCCACAGTCCCGTGCAAATTAATTCAATTAATCCTCGAAGCTTCACAATCACGTAACATTTCGAGGACAATGTCTCAACTTTTATTTCGAATTCCAAGTGTTTAACTCGTTGGAGATCGAGCAACAATTCGTCATTTGTTCTTGTAATTTCTGCAATTTCTTTTTTTTTTATGAAATTTCATCAAACTATAGAACCTAGATGAAACACACGACGATGAAAAAATATTAACCAAATCCTTTCAATTTCCTCTCACAGCCGTAATGTCAAAAAGGTAGAATTTAGTAAGAATTGTATTTAGTAGCAGATTGATTGAATAGAAAGCAACGTTGCTCCTTGACGGATTAAAACGGAACAAAATATTTTCGAACGTACGCGATCTTCGAATCGACGAGACAGGTGAAAAGTTAGTGGTAGCCTTTGATCAGTTCGACCGGGTTTGTAGGAATCTACGTAAAGAAACTCGATACTCCTGAGTCGCGAATATCACAAGGAAATGGTGGTATCGAAGCCGTCCGATTCGTGGGTCAGAAGGTCGGATTTCATAGGTCTTTTGATTTTCGCTCACCTGTATCCTGTCTTCGGGCAGATCGGTCCGAAGGCTGAGCATCTCGCGAGCATACACGTCAGGATAATGGGCTTCCTTGAAGGCTGCCTCCAGCTCCTCCAGCTGCTGTGACGTGAAGATCGTCCTGGAGCAACAACCGTATGAACCTAGTTATATGCCATTACAGCTTTTCCCTTAAAGCTAACCTACACTCGGAAAACGAAAGAGGCCGCGCAGTGAAAATGAAACGGGAGAGTTTCGTCGGTGAGAATCGTAGAGAGAAAAAAAAAAAAAAAAAAGAAAACGTTCGATCGTTTCGAATAATGACGAGAAACAATTTCGTCGACCGGCGCAGTCCGAGCAAAATTAAATTCTATACATTTTGGCGAAACGAATTTCGAACAAATCAATCAGCGCAAATCTACCTTTAATCTCCATCGACTGAATTTAAAACAGATTTCATAAATTTTACAATGAAACGTGCCAGCCGCGAGAAATTTTAATTATACGCGCTTTTAATTTACGAATACAATAATTGTTCGTTCAGTATCGTTCAATCGGCCTCCAACAACAATTTTTAATCTTTCTCGTCGATAATACTCGAATACGTGTCTTACGTAACTTTCCAATGGAATCGATTTCTACCGATGAATGTAGATGTGTATCTTTCAACGATCGAACGGTGCCCGAATTCGTTGATCCTAGTAAGTGTACAATTATCGTGGAACAGTGATTGCATTTGGATTGTCTGTCACTTCAAAATAGCTGAAAACTCATTATCGCGGGGTGGGGCTGTTCGATTACACGATGAAAAGTCTAAAATGATATATGCGTTCGGAATAAATTTATCATTATTGCCGGGCGAAAATCACTGAAACGCGAACGATTGTCTCGCAGAGAGCCGTGGATAACCAAGCGAAAATGCGGAAGAATAGCTCTCAACGTTGCGTCGAAAATTTTGCCCGGTGGTTATTAATTATTCGCGCGTATTTCTATCACGCTGATTTCACGTTACGCTCCAATCAAAATTTTTATACAGACCGCCGCCAAACAGAATTAATGGCGGCACGGCGTTGCGGGAAACGGCGAAAAATTCGATGAAACCAAAAAAAAAAAAAAAAAAGAAAAAAAGGAAAAAAAAGAAGAGAGGGAGAGAGAGAGAGAGAGAGAGAGAAACACGATAAATAAAAATGTGGTTCCCGAACAAAATGCGGGTGAGACACTCACCTATGACGGCGTTTCTTCTTCTTCTTTTTACTGAAACCAGAGAGACCGTCGACCGTGAAATCTTTCCCGGATTCTATATTGTGCCCGACACCTGTAACAAGATCATTAAATTTATTAAATTTCAACAAAATACACGCACAACCGGGGGGGTATATACTAGCATTTCAAAGCTAATGATGTTGTGGTTAACCGAACGTGGATTAAATAACCTTGCATAATTTGTGGCTGTATCTTCTTCCTTCAAAAAATCATCATTAACGTGGTTCGATAATCCATCAGATCTGAATTCTAGCCGTGCGCGTACGTCGGGGGATCAAATTACCCATTATACCCGATTTGCCAATAAATCGAGACCAGCCATATTCGTGCAAATTGTATCGGATGCGGGTGTTGTACGTGTGTCCACGTATTCCTTCTTTGACTCTCGTTCGTTAACGATTAATCGTGATTAATCAAAGTACAAACGGCAACGTTCACTCTTTAACCTAGTTTTTGGCCGGGGTTTGAAGTTGGGAAAATTGAACAGAAAGCAGTGTCTGTCTTGGTAATTGAAAAAAAAAAAGAAGAGAGAAAGGAAAAAGAAAAAGGTCGGACTGTCAGCAGACCGTAGGAGAGATCAAAACGTAGGAAATAAGGACTCGGCGCAACCTAAATTCGCGTAACATTTTCATCCGTTCTCATGTTCCAATTTTACCCTTTGAAGCATCGCCACGCAACTAAGAAGCACGTAATGCGATTCTATTTTTCCATTTATCGTTCGCCCCTTTGTCCGGCACTGGCAGAGCGTCGCATTTAAAGCATTATCTACTCGGTCCGAACAAAAAAGAAACGCAATTAACGGGGACGTGGTGCACACGCGTGTTTCGATCGGAAAAACTCGCGGAGATCGGAACATAATTTCCACGCGCGATATCGACTGTCGCAGCGCGGACTTGACACTCGATATTCCGGCAAAATACCCGGTAAATTTGTTACCGATAACAGAATTTCGAATAGTTCGATGGAGCAGCCCCGGAGGTGGAAAAAAATTGACGTCGAAAATAGGGGGGGAAAAAAAAGTAAAAAAAGAATAGAAAGAAAAACGCAGAGAAACCGAAGGAGAAAAATATTGGGAAACCCTGTTGTCCGACTGGTCGTAGTACAGGGATTTTCATCTCAAAAATCCAGGTTCCCCAATTAGGGAGCTATTAACGGCGCGTGCGCGTCAGAAAGAAGAAAAAAAGCACACGTTTCTCCTTCTTATTTTTTTTTTTCTCTTTTTCTTCCTTTAAACACACCGCTCGTGACTCGACAGCTCGTGCACGCTTTGCAGGGTAAATGGCAATTTTCTACGTGCAAGAGGGGCAGGAAATTAGAAAGGTTCGCCGAGATAGCGAGCGGATAGGACTCATGGCCCGAAAATAATTATCAATTATAAATTAATTTCGAATTAACGAGCGAAAACCGGCTCCGTGGCGCGCGCCGCTCCACAATGAAACCCTCTCCCCGGGGCTAACTCGTTACTACAGTTGTTGCTGCTGCTGCCAGTCGCTGGTGACGCTACTACCGGCAGCTAATTAACTATTAATTAAGAGCTTAATTCCAATTATACGTGTTCTTCGACTAATTGGACCCACGAAACACATTGCTGACGTAGTTACGTCACGTGATTACGATTACACCACCTGTCGCCCTATTTCTTTCTAGAAAATTATTTCCACGGATTATTATCATCAAGTTCCCGCAGTTCACATTAATCGCAACGTACATACGTCTGCTGTAGCGCGCGATATAGTTGACTCTTTATGATCGGCATTAATTTAACTGTGACATTTTTATAAAATTTCCGTAATCGTTGGATGATTTTTTTCGATAGACGTGTTGCAAACATAGACAATGGAAAATAAAGTTTCTAATCTCTAATCTGTGTCTTGTTTGAACCACTATGTTTTGAATATGTTAATATTCGAATGTTATATTATAGATAGAATAAAGTGTTTGCTACTATGAGTTTACTATCACTTTGCTCTGATAATATAATAATCGAATATTAAGTTATTTGAAAAACAGAGAGTTTACTGTATTGCATTTAAAGTGGGAAAAATAAGACTGAAAGGAAATAGTATTCTTGTGTACTTTTCCAATGATTTACGAGTGTTTAATTTACGTGTGTTTTTGAGTACTATGAGAAAACATCACTGAATCGTGGATGTTTATGCATTTGTAGAAAATTTGATAGTGCGAAATTGTACAGGATGCAAAAATATTTGTGTATATTGTATTATCTGATACATCAAACAATTTTCTACCAAGATTCTATTTTTCAAATTATAGTCTTTGAGAAATATGCATAAAAATTTTCATTAAAATCCGCAGTCTATTTATCGAACTAAAATGATAGAAGCATTCATATAAACCTTGAGGACAATTCGATCTTGAGTGTCTATAAGCATGAACTATAGAAAACGCTCCTCTAAGATTTTACACGGACAAATTTTTAGTTTATACGTCATTTTCATTGCGCTTCCAGCTAATCGCAATACCGACTTGTATATTTCACGTCTTGTTCGCGTCGATGTTTCATTGCTGGATTATTCTCATTGACAGTGAGAATTGCGTGGCGTAAATTGTCAGAGCTGTCGCGGGAAATAAAGTCCCTTAGTTTCGCGAAAAAAAAAAAAAAGAAACATTGCCGGAGCTAGTTTTCCGAACGCGTGAGCACCGAAAAAGCCACGAAACTCTGGGAAACAGAGAGCGAGAGAGGAATTTCGACGAATTTTGAGTCGAACGGTTTTGTGAACGCGACCGACATAGAACACATGGCATGCGAAAATAGCGGAGGCTGCTTTTAAAATGTATTGTTAATCCTTCCTTTTTCACCCGCCCTCGTATTCTGTTCTCTTGCTTTCTTCCGTGTTGCATTTCACCGCTTTTTCAAAACGCCTCCCCAAAGTCAAACGAATAGCTTTATAATCATTGGAGAAGCTCGCACGAAAGAAAGAAAAGAAAAAAAAGAAAAAAAAAGAAAAAAGAGACGCGGAGGAATGAAAAGTGTTTCGTTTCTGACTAGAACTGACTTTTTTTACTCTGACTTTTTTTTATTGCGGCAACGTTTCCTGGAACGTAAATGTATTTTTATATCAGAAATCGCTCATCGTTTTTTCATGTTGCGTCATCGTAGGTAGAATTATCCGTTCCCGAGGAATTTTCGGTTTGCAATTTATCTAACGAAAGACATCGCCGGTGTTACTCTTATCTCGGCACGGTCGACGGGAAGGAAAATATTCCAGCTGTGTCGTCACGAAGACGAAGAACTTAATGAGGAAGCGTCGGGTGCATTCAGTCGATTCAAGCAAATTTCTTGCACGCCGGCTTAATTTTATCCAACATTTCTTCCCTGCGCATACACGCGCCTTTGTGCATCATCTTGCAAGCGACTTTTCCGAGCTGAGAGTCAAACAAATTTTGCTCTATTTATTTTGTCAATTTGCTCAATGGCACAACTACCATCTTCGGTTAGAATTACTTTCGTTAAATCCGAAAGGATGAAACATGGCAAGCAGAAACAATCGGGAGGAGTAATCAATAGTAATGTACTTTGTTCGTCATTGTTTGATGTATAGAAGAACGTAAAAAATATTTCTGATCAATGATTGACAATTTCTTCAATACGCCGGAAAAATACGAGTCAATCTCCGTGCGCGCGCGCGCGCGCGGATAAAAAAAATGACGAAGTCGAATGGAAAATAAATATTTGAGGCTCGACTGCGCACAGCTTAAGACACCGAGCATGAAGTTCGCGCGATGCATTGTTTCACAAGATCGTAGAGAGGCCTCTTTACGCAACCCCGGCTCCGCGTTGCTTCCTGCTCCCGGCTTTTTAAGTACGCTTATTTACCGCAAGCCGTCGAACCAATCGCTTTGCACGTCGGAGGACGTGGACGCAAGTGGCTGCAGTGGATGCTAATAATGCGAAGAAAATGGTGTTGCTATATACTACGTCGTCACAATTAGCGGAAAATAAAACAGACGCGTTTGTCGTGCATCTTTTTCACTTGATTCCTGCAATAAATTAGATTTGTCATTTCAAATCGTACGATTCGATACAAACACATTCGCATCCAGACTTTCTTCGTATCTTTTTCTTAAAGATATTTGTAGATATTTTTCACAAAGTTCCTTTCTCTTCACGCGAAGAAGTCGAAACGATATTTTAAATCTCTTGAGACGCAGTAGAATTTCGTCAATCATGTCGGAGAAGAAGTTCAAATAATAGAGACTCGCTGGTTGTTTTCTTATTCTTATTTGTTTGGAGATAGTAGACAAGGATGACAGAAGTTTATTAATTACGAGTTCGTACATATCCGAGGTTCAACTGATTCTATTGTATATTTGAGAACACACTATATATATGAAAAAATGTTTCGGACGAAAATTGTAAGGTGTCGATAATTTCTTGTAATAATGTTTGAAACAGTTTTTCGCGTCGCTCATATTTTTCGAAACGTTGGACATTCTGAGACAAACACTCTATATTCTACGTATATAAGTAATATCCTGTCTCGTCTCGCATAGTCATTGAAAAATAGCGACCGGTGACACGAGTTTTGTTGGTCGTGGAAATAAATTCTTCTCGCGTGAGAATGATCGATATTAAACACGGCAGGAAGCGTCAGGATGGCTAAGTAGGAGGCTGTAACCGAATCGATTAATCAAATCCAGTTAGCTATTACGGAACCAGCGGGACGCGTTTGCCCTCTACCCTGATATATTCTCGGCTTCCCAGCGACCGATGCTTCTCTCTCTCCTCTAATTTGTCCTGGATCTAATCCGTTCGTAGTGCCCTCGAATATCGTGGGATGTCGCGACCTCCCTCGGGAACTATGCTAGGGAGACACCGTGTTTGCGCATACAGCCCACTTCAGAAGCAATTGTTTTTAATCTTCTCGACGAGAGAACTCGCAAGATTACGTTCTCGTAGCAACGAATTGGCCGTCACTCCGAGCCGTTTTTATTGAACTTGATGCAGGGCATCGGAAAAGGTCGATTAGACGGTTGAATTTGTAGAGTTTCGCGCGGAACGGACGACAGTGACTGCGGTTGGTTTCTACG